GTTCATCCATATGCTAGCTGGCTTCTAGACCACCACAAGTCCTACTCCACAAAGTCTTCCCTCCACTGTTTGTAGACACAGTGTTAAGCTTTTAAAATGCTGCCTGGGGGGGGGGGGTCAGTCATCGACCAGTCAATGGGCAAGCTGCTATTTTAATTTACCCAAGTTTGACTGAAGACCGAGTCACACTTATTGAAGGACTAGAAAAAGTAAAAACCTTACATTTCCCTTAAAACCTTAACTCTTTACTTTCTGTGTTCACATCAACTGGACTAAAAGGGAGAATCAATTGATCAGGATAATTCTCTTCCCTACAGAAAAACATTGTCAAAATTAAGGATTTTGAAGCAATGACATTTCCCAGCTTCCTGGTTAACACCACAGAATGAAATTGAATTTGGCAACTGTCCAGTTGAATTCAAATCTATTACATCTCAAAATGAATCTTTTGGGATTTCATCTTTTTTTAATGTAATGGTATTCTGGTGCTAGAGAACTCTAGAGTCCAGCTGATACTTTTGAACTTTCCCAGTTTTTAGTATAAAATCCTGTGCCATTGGCAGATGGTCTAGATAATCCAGATCCAACAATTACCTGGATCATACAGGCTTCTTTTTTTTTTTTTCAACTGTATTATACACAGTAGTAGGTTTGTTAGTGATTGGGTTTTATACAAAATAGCTACGTCTCTTAAAACAATTCATAAAAGCTATAAACTGAGAAGCTCTGTTGCAAAGTGCAAAGAACACTGGATTTGGAGTGAGAAGGCCTGGGTTTGAATCCTTGATGTCACTTACTATTGTTACCCTAAATTAAGTCCCTGGCTTTTCTGAGCCAAGTGCAAAATGTAGTTAAAATAGATATTTGATGATCCTCTTCTCTATATTTGAATGCTGATTCTTTTCTTAAGATGGATTTCCTTTCATAATCAATAATATAGTAAATGTTTATTTGTATAAAATCAATTTTTTTTAAGATACCAAGTATTGTTTACTGTATTTCAGTACTTCTGTGTCTACTTTCTACTAAGAGGACCACATTTTATAAGCTGATAGAACATTTTTCCATTAAATATCTTAGTTTCTGTTGTTGTTGAGTTGTGTCTGACTCATGGTGACCCCACTTGGGGTTTTCTTGTCAGATACTGGCCATTTCCTTCTCCAGCTTACTTTACAGATGAGGAAGCTGAGACAAATAAGGTTAAGTGATTTGCCCAGGATCACACAGCTAATAAATGTCTGAGACCAGATTTGAACTCTGGAAGAGGAGTCTTCCTGACTCCAGGCCCATCACTCTATTCACTGTATCATCTAGCTACCCCTTGAGAAAATATAGTAGTGTTACTTCACTTGTAGTGTTGCAGTATTTGAAAGTTCCCAAGTTGCATATTATAACTCTTGATCCCTTAGAGTAAGTATGCTTGTAGACACTGTGAGGCAGTGATATATAGTGTATGGTAGGTGGGTCTTGTAGTCAGAAAGATTGGCATCATAGATGTGACCACAGGAGTCACTAAACCTCAGAGGTGGCAGTCTCAGATGAAGTCACTGGCTCTCTCTATCAGGTGAAGGAAGCTTCCACACCAGGGATTCTACACCAATGTGTCAAACTCAAGTAGAACTTGATCTCTACTAGCACATATTGTCTTAGAAAACCACAAATCAATGTTATGTATGTTTTATTGTATTTATATTTTTGTTTTACAAAGTTTTGTTCACTGAAGCCCACAAGCCAAGTTTGCTGGCTGATGAAATAACAAGTTTAGGCTAAAATAATCAATATTATTTCAATGTCAAATGCGTAGTTGTCTTTATATACATATATATACAAATACATATTTTATATACATATATACAAATATATGTGTGTGCGTGTGTATATATATATATATATATATATATCTATATATCTGTATATCTTGGACAAGTGCCATAGAACAGAGGTGTCCAACAGGCTATGTGCAGCCTACAATGCTCTGTGTGGCTTAAATCAGATTAAAAGGTCATTGGGAAACATTTAACAAATAAAAATACAATAGAACATAGATATTAATATGTGGGTTTCTAAGTCAACACATGGTCTGCAGAATCCTTATATAAAGTTATGTGGATTTAGTGGTCCTGTTTCCATGAGTTTGATGCCGCTGCTGCAGAGGGGCAATGAAGGGCCAGAGTTGATGCAGAAGTGGAGTGTCCACTGGATTCCATTTGCAAAATCAGTCAGTGACTTCAGCGTTTTCTCAGCCATTTCTTTAGTAGCGGTTATTTTCTGGTGATGCAGTAAATCAGGAGACTCCAGATGCTCAGAAGAATCACAATTTCAGGAAATCCAAACGGCAAAGGAAAGATTCAATGTGGAACTAAGTTGGTTGACCTCAGCACATTACCAACAATCACTTTCCTTAGAGAAGCAGTTTAAAATTCATCATCATAGAATGTGTGGGAAGATAAAAGGAGACAGGCCAATCAAATAGGAGGAATAAATATCAAATAGGAAGAAAGAAAAAGAGCATATATTAAGCACTTAATATGTGCCAGCCAGCTAAATGGCACAGTGGATAGAGTTCCAGTCCTGGAGTCAGAAAGACTCCAACTCTTTAAGATTTCAAATCTGGCCTCAGACACTTACTACTACCTGTGTGACCCTGGGCAAGTAACTTAACCCTGTTTGCCTCAGTTTCCTCATCTGTAAAATGAGCTGGAGAAGGAAATGGCAAACCACTCCAGTGTCTCTGCCAAGAAAATCCCAAATGGGACTATGAGACTGAACAACAACGGGCCAGGCACTGTGCTAAGTGCTTTACAAATATCTTATTTGATAGGACAGTTCTAGTGTTAATTCATTATAACACTGTACATTATAACATTATAACAATGGCACCTTAAGCTTTAAACTTTTAAGGTTTAAAAAGTGCTACACCTTATCTCATTTGATTCTCTAGGTACTATATTATTCCCATTTTACAACTGAGGAAACTGTGGCTGAGAAGGGTTAAATGACTTGCCTATCATCACACAGCTAGTACGCATCTGAGGCAGGACTACGAACTTGTTTTCTTCCCTCTTTAAGTCCACCACTCTGAAGGTATTAACCAAACCAGAGGAGGGCCTCCAGTAGTTTCAGTGGATTCTCCAGGAATGAACTAAAAGAGGGAATGGAAAGGATCACACAGGGTGAAAAGGTTTGCAGAGATTGCAATCTGCACTGGTGTAGGAAACACCCAGATGGATGAAAATCATGGATTCATCATTGTTACCAAGAGAATTTATGATGTTCCCATCAGGTCAGGATTGCTCCACGGAGAAAAATATTAAGTGGCATCTAGAACGTCCAGTTCTAAAGGTGAGAGGAAGAACTAGAGAGGAGCTGGGAAGATCATTTACTGCAACGATTCTTACCCTTTTTGTGTGTCATAGACTCCTTTGTTAATCTGGTGAAGCTTATATGAGACATTTCTCAGAATAATATTTTTAAACAATTGAAGGAAATGCTAAATTTCAGTTAAAGGCTGGTGAAAATAGGGCTGTAATTTTCCCCCATCCAAGTTCATTTATTTCCTTAAAAACCTATACGGGCCCCGGGGCTAAGATCTTCATATTTAGTCCAGCCACTTCATTTAAAAAGGAAAAGAAAACTGAGGTTCCAAGAGGATATAGTTAAATGTGGGCATTTAACACAGATTATAAATGAATTTGGAGTCAAGACCTGGGGTCTCAATATAAGCCCTGCCAATGAGATATCCACTCCATCATAGGGAAACACCTTTGACTGCAAAAAGAGGTCTAAACCGAGGAGAGATTGATCTTTGATGGTTTTCTCTATTGCACCCTCCCCTCTTTCATGCAAGTGGTGTTAACTACGACTCAGGACAGAGGTAACCAAGGCTGGACCCGGGGTGGGGGTGGGGGTGGGGGTGGGAAGCGCCCTGTAGGGACGTGCATCTCCGCAGCACCGCGGCAGAGATCAGTCTCCACCGACTGGGAAAGAAAAAAAAAAAACACCAAAAAACAAAACAAAACAAAACTGAGTATCCCAGGGGACCCTTTTCAAGTCTATGCGGAGCAAACAGACGCCCCATTTCCCCGGGAATTAAATTCACAGAGGTTTTGGAGTCTGGGAAGTCCCAAACGCAAGCGATAAGGGGTACAGGGGTCTGCTAATAACTAGCCTCCCCCCGCCCTTTCCAGGTCCCCGGGCCAGGGATGCGACGGTGCAATCCGCGGAGCTCGGTGCCCTCGGCCAGGTGCACGCGGCATTTGCCTGCCCGGCGGCAGGCTGACGGGAAGGGTGTGCAGGACCCGCCCGCGGGCAGCGGGTGGCCCCAGTCGCCGCCGCCGCCGGGGCCGCAGCCGCTCGCTCGCGGTGCAGCGGTGATTTACTGGCGGCGCTGAGCCGGCTGGGTTCAGTGCCCGCCCGGCGCCCGCTCGGCCTCCGCCACTGCCGCCGCCGCTCGGCTGGGGAGGCTCAGATTTCAGGTTCACACGGGGGAGCCGCCGCCCGCTCCCGTCCCCCCCCTCCCGCCCCCCCTTCCATTCATCCCAACGCCCCGCGCCGCCGCCAAAGCGGCCGCCAGCGCCGCTGCCGCCACCGCCGCCGCCCCTGGCGGACCCCGATTGGCTGCCGGCCTTGGACCCAGGCACTTTCCCACGGCCCGCGGCGCGTGCGGCTCTCCGGTGGCGCTGCGGGCTTGGCCCTGGCGCGCGGCCAGACCAATCGGAGCGCGCGAGGCGGGGCGGGGCGGGCCCGGGCCGCCGGCGAGCTGCTGTCCTGCCCCACCCCCCATCCGCGGCCGGCGCTCAGCCGCCAGGCGGGGGCGGGGCGGGTGGGTGGAGGTAGGGGGCGGGGCCCGCGTCCCCTCCCCCGTGCTCGGCCACCTGAGCGGCTGCCAATCAGCGGAGCGCGAAGCTGGATTGGATTTATAGGAGGAGAAAGTCGTCGGGGAGCCCCCCCACTTCCCCCCAGCTCCTCCCTTGCCCTCCCCTGGGCCCTGGGAAGGGGCGCAGCGTGGGAAAGGGATGGTTGAGTTTTAACCAGAGGGCAAGTGCGAGGGGGGAATCAGTGTGTGTGTGTGTGTGCAGCGGGAGCAGCCGAGCGCACGGAGACGCCGCCGTCGCCGGGGTTAACTCCTCCCTGCCCGCCGTCTTCCCTCCGAGCGTGCCGCCGCTGGTGCCTGCTGCGAGCGCCGGCATGAAGCGTGTGCACCCCGACTACAGCTCCTCCGACAGCGAGCTGGACGAGACCATCGAAGTGGAGAAGGAGAGCGCCGACGAGAATGGGTGAGAGCAGGAGGGGGGCAAGGACCTTGCGTTGGCACGGGCGGGGGCTCCCGGTGCGCCCCCAGGGACTGGGTGCCTCATCGCGGGAGGTCTCGAAGCAAGGGCTGGACAGTCACTGGTCAGGGATGTTGTCGACAGGGACCGACTCCGGAGTCCCTTCCAACTCTTGAGAGAATGTGATTCCGATTCTGTTGACAGCGGTGCTAACCTGCCCAAGAAGGAGATACCGGGTGGCCTCTTGGTGCACGATCACCGTGGCAGGACTAAGAACAGGAGACCCCCCCCCCCCTTTCATGCATTCCACTGTTTGCACTAGGGATGAAGGGGTTCAGGACCTTGGCACACTGGCTATTCTACTTAGTGGCAACCACAACCTGAATTTAAACCCCTAACTTTGCAAGTTGCTGCCGCGGTCTCCTGGGCTCCTGGGGCGGCAGTAAATTCCTTCTCACCACTCCATCTGTTCCTTGCCCTATCTTAACTTACTGGTGATTCCTTGTTCATTTCAGAAACTTGAGTTCGGCTCCTGGTTCCATGTCCCCATCTACCTCTTCCCAGATACTGGCTAGGAAACGTCGCAGAGGCGTGAGTATTATAATTCATATTCTCTCCCTCTCTCTCTCTCTATCTCAGGCGATGGGGTAAGGGGGAGAGCCATCGGAATTTATGATACTAATGGAAATCCCTTTGTTTTGCATGCTTCCTGTTAGATCATTGAGAAACGCCGGCGAGATCGAATCAATAACAGTTTGTCGGAGCTGAGGAGATTGGTACCCAGTGCTTTTGAAAAGCAGGTAAGGAATGGAGCGAGTGAAACAATCAGTGTGCCAACTGGTGCTTTGTGACTTTCATAAACTAATTTTAACCTTTAGGATGCTGGGAAAAGTGCTTTTGTTACTTGTGGCTTATAAAAGAACTGAATACTCCTATTTTGAAGTTACCACTAAATGCATATCCTACCAAATTAAACTTTCCCCTTTCTTCATAGGGATCAGCTAAATTAGAAAAAGCAGAAATTCTGCAGATGACTGTGGATCATCTCAAAATGTTGCATTCAGCAGGTGGAAAAGGTAAAGCTCATTAATATTTTGGGTGAGAGGGGTGGGGAGAGAGGTCTTCTTTAGGAGCCTTGGCACTGCCCAATTGTATTCTATGAAACTTGTTATCTTATGTTTACCGAGGACATTGGGGTTAGGTAGAAAATTGATGGGCTCTGTATAAATATGTGTGTGCTGTTTGTATGTGTATCAGTACAATTTTCACATTTTCTTGAGACTTTATATAGTATATCTACCATTTTATAGTGACTGCAAATTATACCAGTGCAGAATATAAATAGAGCCTTCCTTTGGAAAATGACTGCTGTCTGAGGCTCTCCAGAGTCATGACAGCACTGATTCAAATGAAGTGGCTCTCACCTTAATCCATAGTAATTAAGGAGGGGGGAAATGTGTTTTTCCCCCCTAAAGTAAGTGGTATTTTTTTCTCCTTATCTACACATCCAGGAGATTTAAAGAAGCAAGCAAACAAACCATGCTGTCATATTTCCTTGAAGAAAAAAATCTTGTCACAGAAAGGACAGTCTAATGGAAAGAGATGGAAAAATAAAATAACTGTCTATACATATGTAAACTAGACGTATTTGAATGAGAACTAAGTGCCTGTAAAAGCCCTATGATGATAGATAAGGTTATACATCTGTGTGTCTGATGAATTTCACTGTGCTGTGGGTTCTCATTTCTGGATGCATTTTTCTGGCATTAAAGGAAAGCATTAAAACGAATGAACATGGTTTCATCAGCTAGTAGTGTATAATCCCACTTTCTGCTTGGCATCACTGGTAAATGGACTTTGAACATAGGCCATTAGCAAGCATATGCTGTTAATCCAAAATGAAACACTTTTGTTTGACCTTAGAAGTTTTGATGTGTATGAGGAGATACAGAAAATATTGACTTGGTTTTCCAGTGGAAGCTGCTCGTATCGTTCGTGTATCCTGCGTTTGTCAGGAAGGAGAGCGATTAAGATGAAGCAGCATACTTATGGCAGTGGCCTGAGGTTTTTCTTTTGTTCCTTTTTTCTCAGGCTATTTTGATGCTCATGCTCTTGCCATGGACTACCGGAGTTTAGGATTTAGAGAATGCCTTGCTGAAGTTGCCCGTTACCTTAGTATCATTGAAGGGCTAGACACGTCTGATCCTCTTCGGGTTCGGCTTGTCTCTCATCTCAACAATTACGCCTCTCAGCGGGAAGCTGCCAATAGCGCACACACGGGCATTGGACATATTCCCTGGGGCAGTGCCTTTGGACATCCCCCTCACATCTCTCATCCCTTGCTGCTGCCACCACCACCGCCCCAGAATGGCCACAGCAACAGCAGCCCTACAGCATCCTCCACAGAACCGCACCACCAGGGGAGAATGACAGCATCCCATGCTGACACCACTTCCTTGAGAGTGCCCCCTAACGGCAGCCTTGGACCCGCGCTGCCTGTGGTTACTGCCTCTTCCAAACTCTCTCCTCCTCTGCTCTCTTCCGTGGCATCCCTGTCTGCGTTCCCCTTCTCCTTTGGTTCCTTCCATTTATTGTCCCCGAATTCACTGAGCCCTTCAACACCAACACAGGCAACAAACCTTGGCAAGCCTTATAGACCCTGGGGGACTGAGATTGGAGCTTTTTAAAGAACTAAAGCTTTAGGAGGGATGGGGGATAGCTTAAAAATCCAGCTGAGCTGGATTGTTGCCAACTTCACCTTAAAATTATAAATGAAAGTGAAACGGAAAAAAGGTACAATTTTAGATAAAATTTGTTTAAGAACTATAAAAATTGGCTGGTTTTCTTCTCTCTCTCTCTCTTTTTGGTTTTTACATTTTGTATTAGTTTTTTTTTAAATTAGTTGCTAAACTTGTCCCAAACATTAAATTGCAGTGGTGGATATGAACCAACATCCTGTGATGGGTTTGTACTAAGTGTCTAATCCACTTTGTAAACATGTATTACTGTTTTAAAATGATTCCACTTTTGCCTGAAAACTTTGGAACTTTTAATTTAGTATTTTGTTATGTTTTTCTTGTTTAGCTACAACTTTTTAGATTTTTTTCCAAACCACTATGCTCAGCATTAACATAAATTCTGCTTGTGAATATTTTGACAGATTAAGATGTTCTATAAGAAATCACTACTTTTTGTGGGGGGTAATCTATATTCTGATTTTTGTATTTCTGAACAAAGCGTTGACAAATCAGAACAATCAGCTTCATCCAAGACAAGAAGAATGAGCTGTCTTTCTCTTGGAGCAGATGGGCGAATTTTGTGGGTACCTAATTTGGGTCCTTGACCAAACTGTTGTTAGGAGTGTGGTGTGATTGACAGCTTTCACCTAGGGAATAATCACTCCTGGCCTAGCAAAAGTGTGACAGGTCAGGATTTTATGGATCTTGGTGTAAACTACTGGGGGTGGGAGAAGAGGCAGCTGGGAGACTAAAGTTACAGAATACAACCTGCCTGAATTTATCAGGCCCTGGCCAATATTATGAATATCTTTATTCTTAAGAACTTCAAATTCATTTGAAACATTACAATGGATAATTATCCTGGTGTGCTAGAGGTCGTTCATTCAAGTAGACTTGTGGAAACATTGAATGTTTAATTTTCTCTTCCCCACTCCCCTCCCCATGTATTCTTTTACCTGGAAAACTATTATCTGTCACTTTCTGGTGCACAGGAATTTGGTTACTGAGGACTTTAAAAGGGCTCTTCTGCATTCTCGTTATGGTTTGTTTAATTTGGTTCCATCTGTGAAAGAAGCATTTTAAACAGGTTTATTTCTTTCAAAGGTATATTTTTAAGTGGCCTCCACTGAATTGGATTTGATCTCCGTTGTATTGATGTGTTGTGATTAAATAAAAAAAAAAAGAAAGAACGCCTGTATTTCAGTGTTCATGTATTGTATACTATGCCAATAGGAGAAGTCTGTACTTTTGAATTTCCCTTTTTTTTTTGGGTCAGGTGAAAGATTTCTCCCTTCCCTGTCCTGATACTCCTGGGTATTGTTCCATGCCCTCCCCTAACCCTGCCCCCCCATCATCTGTGTGGAAAGGACAGTTAAAAGACCAGGGTTTAAATTCTGGCACCGATTAGCTTGGTGATCTGGGGCAAGTAATATAAACTCTAGGCTTAAATTTCCTGAGGCATTGAAGTGTGAAAGCAGTTAGTATATTTGGAGTCAAGACGACTTGAATTCAGATCCTGGCTTATATATAGAACTACTGGGTGACCTTGGGCAAGTTACACCACTGGTCTGGTTCTCGCTTTCCTCAAATGTAAAATGAGGGTGTTAGAGTAGAATAAACTCCAAGATCTCTTCCTCTAATCTCTAGGACCCTATATGAAATGTATGCTGTTATTTCAACTAAACTGTTATCTCATGGGGCTGAAAAAAGCCTGACAAGGTAAATTCTTCATAAGACTGAACTTAGAGTTCAGTAGACTATGGACAGGTTCCACATGAATAATAAGATATGGATGTGTTCTCCAGAGGGACAGCATAATCTGAACATCACTATAGCAGATGAGTATACCCTGTACACATTTGCCTAAATGTGTGGCTAGGCAGGGGTTAGAAAAACCCTAGACTGGAGAGGGGAAGGAGAAAAGAGGGTGAGTGTTGATATCATCCATTAAAATCAACCAGATCTCTTCCTGAGTGCCTTCTGTGTGCCCAGCTCTGTGCTAACACAGTTTACAAAAAAAAAACCAAAAAAAAAAACAAAACCCAAAACCAAAACCAAAAACCTTTAAAAATTGCATTTAAAATCCATTGCTGTCATTGAAGACCTGATCAGAGGCTGTGGAATCAGTGGCAGCGATTACATGTGGCAAGCTGTAATTCTGCACCTGCAGAGCCCCAGGAGACCTCCCTTGTCATATTTCAGAGGAATGTGTTTAACCCTTTTTTGTGCATTTGACTCTGAAATTACTTGTGCATGGAAGCAGGCATATGCTTTAGGTTATAACAAAGCCCTGTCAGAACAGAGGCAATTGGCTTGGTCTCTAGGGGAATGGAGTGCCTTAGTCTTGCTTTAAAAGTGGTCCTCCAGCCAATTAAGGAGTGGCATCCACTGGAGCCAAGGGGGCTGATAGCCTCCTTTAACTCTGAAGGAGGTTCGCCTTGATCCTGGGGGTAGTAGGGGAAAGAGAAAATACAGAATCTGGCAGAGAAAAAAGAATTGACCCCCCCCCCCCACCTCCGCCCCTCACCACCATGTCCTTTTCTTTTCTGATTAAAAAACAGAAAGCATTACCAGACATAAAGGCAAAGGAAAGAAGTTTGAACTTTGAAATTTAGCAGTTACTCATGTATCCCTCTGAGAGGATTAAAAGCTGCAGGGCTAATGCTTCCCTACATTTGAAATGCTAACTTCTGATTCAAGAATCTCTTGCCTGGCATGATTTTGCCCTTCATTTAGTGCACAGCTCTGTCCTTACAGGCCCCTGGACAGCAAGCTGTAGCATTTTTTACAAATACTAATGTTGTGCCACAAAGGTACTTTTTGGGGAAAGTATACTGTTACCTTTAGCAACCCCTATTTTTAATGACTAAATCAGTTTCCAGGATACTTTTTTCAGACTGTATTACTGTTGCCCATATTTATTTATGGCTGCCTGTTATGTCCAAGGAGATTTAATATCCTCATTGGGGTGAGTGCACTGAATGTCCTGTGGTAGGGCTGAATAATGATAATAATAACTAACATTTATACAGCTTTAAAGTTTCAAAACACTTTATCTTAGTTGAGCTTCACAATAATCCTGTGAAGTGGGTACTTTAGGCATTTTCACCACTTGACAGTCAAGGAAAGTGAAGCTCAAATGAGTGAAGTGTCTTGCTCCTGATCACCCAGCTAACAAGCATCAGAGACTAGACATAAACCCAGAGCCTTCTGACTCCAAGCCTGCTCCTTCATAGAGCACATTCCACAGCTCATCAGACACACCTGTAGCTCAATCACATAGTGCTAGCTTCATTTGTTTATCAATTCCCAACTAGGATCAGAGAGTTTCTTGATGGGAAAAAAAGTATTGTGCTTCCTTAGGATTTACAAAATCTATAAAATTTACAGCACCCTTAAGGTGCTGAGTTTCTGGATATGTATACCATTAAAGGAGGTAGCAAATGTGGTCAGCTCTTTCACTTGGGTGTTGGATAGGGCTGTGATTATGGTATGATCTAATACAGTGTAGGAAAGTCTGCATTTAAAAAAGATGTATCTTTCACTCATTGACACTAAAATAAAATCCATCTCTAGGTTCAGTTTGTTATGTAATTCTACCATAATTATGTGAGTATATACACACACATACATACATATATTGGTCTTGGAATCAGAAGACCTGAGTTTGAATCCTAGCTCTTCTTCCATTTACCAGTTATGTGACTTTAGATCAATACCAGGGTATTTAATGTGGGGTCTGTGAACTTAGAGAGGAAAAAAAATACATCTTTATTTCAATACAATTGGTTTCCTTTGTTATCCTGTGTATTTCATTGGATACATTTAAAAAACACAGACTTGACCAAATTGCCAAAGGGGTTCATGGCCCAAAAAGGATTAAAATCTCCTGGCCTATCTGATCTCCAAGGTCGTTTCTGGCTCCAGAATTCTGTAACTAACAAATATCCATATATTAAAGGACTTGAAAAAAATGACTTAGAAGTAGCATACAAAATAACAGCATTGATAATAAAGAATCTCATTTGGTATTAATTCAATTCAATCCAACGAACATTTCTAAGGCACCTGCTATGTGTGTTGGGCACTAGGGATGGAAAGAAGAGGAAAAAAACCAGCCCCTATTCTCAGGGAGCTTATATTGCATAGGATATGGATGGTTGTTCACATCCTTTCATTGCAATTTATTATTTAGATCTTCAAAACAGAAGAACAGAGAACAATTCCCCAGTAGATAAGTGGTCAAAGAGTATGAACAGCTCTTACAAGAATCTTGTCATTTTACTTCCACTACACCTAATATCCATTCCCTTTTCTCTACCCACACAGTTCAAGCCCCTCATCACATCTCTCCTGAACGATAGCCTTCCTTGACCTTGAGATCTTTCTGCCTCAGTTATAGTCCCACTCCTATCTATTTTCCACACAGCTCATAGCTGCAAAAGTTATTGCCCTAAAGGACACGTCTGACTGACTAGGTCACTCCCCTACTCAAGAGACTCCAGTGGCTCCCTATTATCTGGAGTTGTAAATATAAAAATCTTCTGTTTGACACTAACCTATTTTTCCAGGCTTACTCCAAACTACTTAGTCCCCTTCATACTATCAATGATGCAATCAGTCTGCCTTTCTTATTATTCCTCTTACATGTCACTACATTTCCTCTCTCCATGTCCTTGTACTGGCTGTCCCCATTCCTGTCCAGTACTCCTCCCCTACTTTGTCCTCTAGAAATCTCTGGTTTTCTTTAAGACAGATGAAGTTTCATCTTTTATGTTAAGCTTTTCCTGACACTCTCCTCTCCAAATTGCTAGTACTATCCCTTCTAAATTACCTTATGTCAATATAATTAGTGTATAACTATATATGTACATATTATTACCGCTCCCTCTCCCCCATTAGAGTGAAAACCCTTTGAGGGGAGGAACTATTTCACTTTTGTCTTTGTATCCCCAGAGATTTATACAAAGGCTGATAAATATGAATAAATAGAAGCATAATGTTTCACTGATTAACTGAAAAGATACACAAATAATTAACAACCATATGAAAGATTGCTTATTTCAGTCAGGTCTGACTCTTCGTGACCTCATTTTTTTCAGCAGAGTTACTGGAGTGGTTTGCTATTTCCCTCTCTAGCTCATTTTACAGATGAGGAAACAGAGGCAAACAGGGTTAAGTGACTTGCCCAGGGTCACACAGCTAGTAAATGTCTGAGGCTGGATTTGAACTCAGGAAGAGGAATCTTCTTTACTCCAAACCCAGCATGCTGTTTACTGCACCACCTCCCTGCCCATTTGTAGTTAGAGAAATGTAAGTTAAAACAACTTCAAGGTCTCGCTAATACATAAGAAACTTGCAAAGACAACACAAGATAGACATCGTCAGTGTTGGAGAGGTTATGTGAGAAGAGGCTCACCCGCTAGTCTTATAGAATGATAGCAGTGATGTGAATTAGTCTAACCATTCTGGGAAACCTTTTGGAATTAGACGAAAAAAAAATGCTAAAAATATCTATACCCTTTAAGCCAGAGATCACACTGTTGGACATGTGAGGTGAATGTCCCATTCATAACAAAATATACACAGCAGTACTGTTTGTGGAAACAAAAAACTAAACAAAGGGGTTGCCCGTTCATTGCAGGATGGCTAAACAACTTGTGGTATATAAATATGATGGAATACTATTTACTGCAAGAAATGACAAATAGGAAGGATTCAGAGAAACTTGTAAAGACTTGTATGAACTGATGCAGGATAAGGCAAGCAAAACTGGGAGAACAATATATATATATATATGTATATATATATAAAATCAGTCAACTAGCATTTATTAAGCACCTGCTATGTAGCAGAAACTGATATATATATATATATATATATATATATACCCTATGTCTACAAATAGAGGCAAAAAATATTACCTGTTTTCAAAGAGCTTATAGTCTAAGGCAGGATGGGGGGAACAACATGCAAACAGCTATGCACAAACAAAATTATATACAGGATAAATTGGAAAGAGAAGGTACTGGCACTAAGGGGAATCTGCAGAGGTTACTTTCAGGAAGAAGGACTTTAACTGAGATGTGAAGAAAGCTAGGAAAACTAGGAGGTGGGGAGGAAGAGCCTTCCAGGCATGGCATAGGGGATAGCTGGTG